CCATCTGCACCTGTGCTCCAGCTGCTGCCTCCCATCTGCACCTGTGCTCCAGCTGCTGCCTCCCATCTGCTTCCCATCTGTGGAATCCTACTCCTCTGCTTCTACCACAGACTGCTCTTAGCCTCTAAGGTTATTTAACAGATGAGTGTTCTTTGAGTTCCACGGGTAAACTATCAAACAGGACCGACTCCGGCTTCATCTTCCTTTTACAATTGTTCTTTCCATCCTTCTTATCTCCACTTATAATAGCTTTCCAGAACTTTGTAGAAATTTCGAGATTATTCTGTCACATGTCCAGTTGCAGCATTCTTGTAGGAGAATTTTGGTACTGTGTCCACCTCTTTCCGCTCTCCTGCTGCTGCTTTGTGATGTTGCAAGTCTCCTCCTGGCTTCCTGCCTTTCCTTCTCTCTCTCTCTCTCTCTCTCTCTCTCTCTCTCTCTCTCTCTCTCTCTCTCTCCCTTCTTTCTTCTCATCAGTCACCTGTCCTGTCACATGCTTTAGTTTTTGTAGTGGCTTCATATTGCCTAGCAAGCAAGGTCGGCTTGTCCTGGCCAACCCCTTCCTCCACCTCCAGCCTTATTTTTCTCCTTCCACTCAAGCATCTTCTGTACACTGGACTCAAGAAGCCATTTGCTCTGCTGTTCCTTTGCTTGGAAAGTCTCTGCTTATAGCTAGTGAAATATAACTGACCCCTGCAAACTTACCTGCTTTCTCTCCCTTGTCCTCATACAGAGTATCTCTCCTTCATTGACCTTGCTGAACAAATACAATAATTGTGATAGTAACTACAGTTAGACATTGGTGGCTAGGGTTCATCATCAGTTTAGACTCCTAGCTAGATAGCACATCTTGACTCCCTTGAAGCTTAATGTGGCTGGCTGACATGCCTTGGCCAAATTCATTAAAGTGGAAGTGGCATATTTGAGTTCCAGGTCATAGAATTTAATAACTAGTGTGATGGCCTTCTCCTTCACAACTGACAACATTGTCTCCTTAACAACTGACAACATTTCGTATGGCAACTGTGACCTGGAGTGAAACTACAGCTGAAGAAGTATGCACTAAGATCAAGTACATCTTATGGAGGAGGAGGAGCTAGAGAGATGGCTCTGTGGATAAGAGCACTGGCTGTTCTTCCAGAGATCCTGAGTTCAATTCCCAGCAACTACATGGCAGCTCACAACTCTCTGCAACCCCAGTTCCAGGGAATCTGACACCCTCAAATGCCAATGTACATAAAGAAAAAATAATTAAATTTTAAAAAAGAAATACATCTTTTTAACCTAAAGTATTAGGTTTTACTTGTTACTAAAACATGTCTCAGCCCATTCTGACTGACAAAGTGATTGGTTATAAAGACTTTTGCTAGATTCTGTAATTGAGCAACTATCCTTTTTAATAGTTCTCACCTCTTCAGACTCCAGCAGAATGCTAAGGCATGTATAGGCACCAAGAAGCCTTTCAGAGAGAGAAGTTGGTAGTACATACCTCTCTAGCTTGAAACTTTTTATCCTACATGTAAAATCATGCTGTTTTCAATACATAAAAAAAGATGAAAAGAATTCGTATTTACTAAGTGTTAAGTTTGTTCCTTTACTGATGATCATTAATCCATGTTTTATTTGATAACCCCAAATGTATGACTTTCATTTCAATTGCTTCAAAATTTATTTTAGCTGCTAGATTTTTCCATTCTATTTTACCCAGCACCTTCATTAATCCTTTATCTGTTACTGATTTTCGTCTGTCATGTCTTTTATTTAGTAGTCTTAAAAACATGGCTTAGTAAATTTAATCTGAATTTTTGTGTAAAGTAGCATTGCTCAGGAGTGACAAAGGACTGAGATATTATGAATCACAAAAGCAAAAGCTGCTGGTGTTGTTGCTGGGAGAGCTATGAATAATAACCAGGCGTTAACTGAGAGAGAATGTCAGATTGAGGAGAGAAGAGATTTTAGGGTTATGAAGGTTTGAGACTAATGTAGTTTTGCCTTTGCTATGTATGAGATCTCTAAACATCTTAGCTCCCTTGCCTGTAAATGGGGATAGTAAAACAGCAATCTCACAGAAATAGAGTTATCAAAGGCTAGGCTTTGGAAGAGATTGGTCAACAGGCATAGCGTTCCAATTAGACAGGAGAACTATGCTCTGTTGCACAGTAGGGTGACCCTAGTTAACAAAAGTATATTGCATATTTCAAACTATCAAAGAGAGGATTTCAAATGTATCACCACAAATGATAGACCTGCCATTTACTCTGATTTAATCACTATACCACACACACGTACTGAAGCATCATGTTGTGCCCATGTCCTATTATATGTCAAAAAAAGAAGAAAGAAAGAAATGTCACAGAGCTTATGAGAAATACAAATGAGATCGTTTATGTAGAATCTCTTTGGAGTAATTGCCTAAATATTTCTTCAACCTGATGAGAACAGCAGGAGGGTCGACCAGCTGAGTGGAATGGGATGTGCTCATGCAGTGTAGAGTGTCTGTATTTTCCAATTTTCCAGTCTGAGGACCAACCACTGGGACTGGGCAAAGGCCGTTTGGTCTACAGGTGATCAGATTACATGTCTTACACTGGACCAAAGAGCCTTCACCCTCCACAGTAATCCATGGATTATGTGAAATGAATCAAGATAGACTTTCTATTTTATAGCTCAGATCTTTTCTCTTCTTCCTTCATCACAGGCAGGCGGCTATTACTATTTTTAAAATGATGACATTTTGGCTTTCTTGTTCCTTGCTTATTTGATGCCTGTAACACACTTTTCCCATCACCTGATAGACTGCTTCCATTCTTGTTTCTACTTCCTGTGGGCACATTTTGGGGGCACAACTCTGTAATGCCCTGTCTAAAATGATCTTCAGATTGATAACATACTGCTGAAGGGAACACTATGCATGCCATTGGGAGGATGAGAGGCTTTGAATAGACGACAGGCAGAAGAGGCTCAAAATGGTAGCTTTGTTTCTGCTTAAGTGGTTAGAGAACATGTCTCAGATCTTCTGCCCAGTTCTGCAAATCAGGTGGCTTCATTGACACAGGCAGGTGGGGTGGAGCAGCTAGAAGCCATTCTATTAGGGGCAGGGTTGACTCTTTGGCCCAACCAGCTGGACATATAATAAATGGGCAGATGTGCAAAGAAAGAACTCCTCTGACATACAGGGAAGTGTATTTCATTTCACACTGGAGAATTATCCACAAGGTTGCTCAAGAATATGTACAGTTCAGTGACAAAAAGTCAAGGATCCCAGCTTGAACTTGACCAGATTTGGAACTCTAAAAACTGTTTCTCATCATCTTCCTGTTGCCTTCCCTCATTCCCGAGAGAGTTTTGACCTCTTAGTCTTACTGGGTGCACCGGTCCTGACCACCATCACTCCAGTAATTCTCAACCTTGACAGTGTCTTACAATCATCTGGCAAGCTGTTAGATCAACTGAAGACTCCAACATCTGTCCCACTGAGCCAGATCTAGTAGTTCTGGGATGGAGCCTTGGTATCAGTAGTTTTAAAGACTCCCTAGGTGATCCTAAGCTGCATCTAGGTTCATGGACCCCTGATCTAATAGGTTCTGGTCTTGTCAGCCCTCTTGGCTTCATCTGCCAGATGGGAAATGCAGATAATGCCATCTGCAAAACTCTGGGAACAGAGCCTGAGTCAGCCTTTAATAGTGATGTCAGCCATGGCACAGCAACTTCTGTTCAGATTAAAGCCTTGGAGGCTGTATCAGAGGCTCTGCCTTTCTTCTCGACTTGTCTTTCTCTACATAAAAGACATTTTTATTTTTAAAGACCCATTTTGCTTCATGGTGCTCATCTATTCATTTTCTTGAAAGAGAATAAGAGGGAGTGAGATCTCTTTCTTTTTATGGAGACGCCCTTGATCTGACTTTGCCCTCAGCATGTCTGCAGCCAGTCATTACGAAAATCTGGTAAAAGAGATTTCTCTGACATAAGCTCCATGGACCCATCTTTCTTAATATCACCCACACAGGCAAGGTGTTGAGCCAAGCTCTTGATGGCTAAGTGGTCAGACAGAACGAGATTCATGACCCGGCCCTTAAAGGAGGGGACCTGATAATAAGACAGAGCCACTTAAAAACAATTTTCCCAGCACCTCACCTGAATCTTTCTCAGCTGGAATGCATCCCCCTGACTCCAGCCTACTTGCAGACTGCCTACCAGTGAGTCTTAATCACCCATGGTGGTTATGGAGCACACAGCTGCTTTGGCACATATGGGTCTCTGATAATAGAACCCAGTTAACTGCTCGGAATCCACAGGGGTGTGATTGCACTGGGGTCATAACTTCTGAGAATGGCTTGGCCACAGTTATAACATGCTGAGAGGGAGCAAAGCACCAGGCCCGAATAAATTAGCCTACCAGATATCAAATTTGCTTAGTCAGTTCTATAATACCTGTATTGAGAGTATCCCATCTATCACATCCAGCCTGAGCACCTAGCTATGCATCTATGGGAAGCAGAGTTTTAATTGTTTGGTGCCCAGCTTCTTACTAGGGGGGTCTCACACACATGACTGAATGTTGAGGGCCTAAAAGGTCTGGCAACAATAAAATGTTTCTGAATGGGTAAACATTAATTCAAAATCAAATGTGTAGTGAATCCGAGATGTTTCCGGTGTAAGTCTATTTTGCGTGACACGATTTCATTACAGGTTTGGTTCTGAAGCTGTAGAGCACACTAGGCACCGTACGCCCCACCACACCACACAGTGGCGGTGCACACTGCACTTCCACTCACACCACACAGTGGGGATGCACACTGCTTCAAACATCAGGACTCAGTTCAGATTGTCTTTTATGCTTCAAATTGCATATAAGGCTTCTTGCTCTAATAAACACACGGTGGTTTAATCATGGAAAACAAAGACTTTTTAGTAGTTTCCTACATCATCTTTAGCATGTAAATATGAAATTAATTTGTCATTGCATTATATTGTTAGAATGATTGATTTTAAAACTTTCTATTTGAGTTGTTGACTTGAGTTTCAAAATATTTGTTAACTAAATTTTGGCTTGGATGGGGACTGAGTTTCCAACCATTCCCTGAAGTGGTCTTAAGCCCCTTTCTCCACCTTGTACTACATGTGTATGCAAGGTAGCAGCCTCAGCACTCACAATCATAAAAGCAAAATATTGATCAACTCTGAAAAATGTTGGCAATGCTTTGTGTTCTGATGTATTAAATATTCAGCCAAGACTTACTTCTTTAAGTAAAAAGAAATGATCATATCCACGTTATTATTATGCAAATTTGCTTTAATTGTTAATAAATGACAAATTTATATATGTACCAAAGAGTTGTTTTATACTAAACTTCTTTATGATCTTTGTAGATCTCTGCAAAAATGTTAGGATTGTGTAACTATATTATTTACCTATGTACTCAGGATCACACAAAGGTTTCTCCAGCAAAAAATGGATTGTATATAGAAAAACATTAAGATGCCCTTGTATAGTATATATGATTATGATTTTAAAATATGATTCTAGCTTTATAGAATACATAATTTTTAAGGTAAAATGAGCTTTTGTTTATTTCATTTTTAAAAATGTGAGACTTGAAACCAGGTATAATGGCTCATGCCTTTAATCCCAGCACTCGTGAAGCAGAGGCTGAAAGATGGCTGCAAGTTCCAGTGTAACCAAGGGCTGCAGAATGAGGCCCTATCTCAGAGAAAACAAAACACAAGGCTTTAATGGATGCTCTAATCCTATCTTGTTGCTTCTAGTTTTTTCAAATGAGTCAGGCGCTGGTCGCTGCTCAGTTGTGAAACTGTCATCTTATGGGAGCCTCTCATTCTGTTCAAGGCTGTGGTGCAATCACGGCTTTCACAGACCAAACCCCTTCATGAGCGTTACAGAATGCCCACTGTACTGTTTTAACTACAGTTGCTTCAGGGCCACAGCACAGCGGATCTTCCTGATCCCATTTAACTGTTGTATACAATTTGATCAAATTCATTAATGGTCACACCATAAAGACCGTAGTTAACCAAAGAGTATATTCAGATACCGTTGTCTTAAACCTCAACTGTGGATACAAACGCAGTGTAATTCATAGGTCAGAGATGAGACTGAATCATGTGACCCGATTAATCTAAATCATCAAGCAGGATTGACTATTTTATCTTCCAAAGGTCAAAAACCAGGGCTTGGGTATTTAGGGATTGAAATGTGAACTTTTTTTTTTGGTTTGGTTTTTCAAGACAGGGTTTCTCTGTGTAGCCCTGGCTGTCCTGGAACTCACTCTGTAGACCAGGCTAGCCTCGAACTCTCGAACTCAGAAATCCGCCTGCCTCTGCCTCCCAAGTGCTGGGATTAAAGGCGTGTGCCACCACCGCCCAGCTGTGAACTTAAAAAAGCAAGGAGTGAATTTAAAGATAAGTTCTTGTGAGGTTTCAACATCACGTTAAAGTGATGAAAAAGGTGAGGGGCAGTGGAAGGGGATGAGTCTGATCAAGTGACATAAGACATTTAGGTGGGATCAGGAAGATCCACTGTGCATTGAAGTACCTATAGATGAAATAATACAGTGGACATTCTTCAAAGCTGCAAAGGGGATTTTGTAAGTTTTCCCCATAGAGAAATGGTAAATGTTTTGGGAGGTAGCTATGGCAATCTTAATTAAAACATTACAAATATCAAGGGGCTGGAGAGACTTGTCCATGTTTGAGAACACTTGTTGCTCTTGAAGACCCAGGTTCAGTTTCTAACAATCACATGGCGGCTCACAAGGAGATCCAGCCTTCCTCTACTGACCTCCAAAGACACCCGGCATGCACATAGTGCACATACATACATGTAGGCAAAGCAATCATAAACATAAAAAAAGGAAAATCTAAAGAGGTTACATATATTGAAATATCATTTGGAATTTTAAAATATGTACCATTTGTATAAACTAGATAATAGATAAATTTTAAACCAGGGATAGTAGCTCACACTTTAATCCCACTGCTTAGGAGGCAGAGGCAGGCAGATCTCTGTTTGAGGCCAGCCTGGTCTACATAGTGAGTTCTAGGACAGCCAGGGCCATATATAAAGACCCTGTCTCCAAACAAACAAACAAACAAACATTTTTTAAATCTCTAAAATTAAGACATAGTGAGACTCTTTCTTCCTTCCTTCCTTCCTTCCTTCCTTCCTTCCTTCCT